TACTGCAATTGCCATCTGTAGTAGGGTGGTTGTTTTCCTCCTGGCCCCAAGCTCCCGGGATAATGATTCAAGAGTCTCAAAATATATTTACAAATACCTAGGTCATAGAGCTAGATGTGCATAGATGTGCTCACATCTTAAAATAACCCATTAACACTAATCCACATTTTGCCCCTTTGCTGATTACCTTTGCTCAGGTAACATACACCTGTCTTCTTCCACACCTGGCTCTATCCCAGAAACCTTTCTGCCTGCCAGATGTCCCACTTTTTATAGGCCATAAGTTGTTTCTGTTTTTGACAGGCAATGCATCCATACAATACCTAAATATTCTCCCTACAGTAATTAGTTCAGGGGTGAGGCCCTCAGTGCCCCTTTTCCACCTATACTGGAGGGTTGAAGGGCAGGATTTTGTGCCGCATCTGCCGTTAACATGAGTTAATGATGTCAGTGGATGTGTTTTGCAGGACAATAGTAGCCTCATGCAGTCCTCCTTATCTTCTAGCTCTTCCATTCCTTCCCTCTTCTAAAATGTTCTCTGAGCCTTACAGGTATGTTACAAAGGCCTTGTTTAGAGTCAAGCACTCATCTGCCACTTTCCCCTAACACCTTATGTAGCTGTGACTCTGTCTCCTCAGTCACTTCAATTTAATGGGGGGAAAAGGCTACCCTGGTTAGAGGTGACAGTAACATTTTTCAATGGATATAAACATTAAAAGGAAGATCCTCTGCTTTTATATTCTTACCACAAAAGGTTAGCCATGCTGGTGAAATACTGAACATAGAAATTACCTTCATTATCCTTCTACCACATCTACTGAGATCAAAGCATAATATTATAGACATAAATATAAACTTTTTGTCAATTAAAAGTAAAATTTAAAAGTAAAGAATACTGTGTTGAGATCTACCAATATTAGGCAATAATGTCATCTTACTATAAAGCAAATGGCCATAAACATGTGCATTCTAATAATACCACTGCAAAAGCACAGAGGACAAATATTAAAATCACAGAAAATGGTGGCTTTTAATATTTCTTTCCAGTTTTAGGTTCACAAAGTAAAATATATGCCATTCATTTTTCTAAGACTTCCAGGCAGCACAGAAAGCAAAATGAAAGAAAGTATGGGTAAAACGAGAAGGTTAGGGAGACGTCAAAATGTGAAGGAAGAGAGTATCTGAAACTGCGGCTGTTGGAGTAATGAGGCCCTGTCTGCTGATGAGCCACAGGTAATATCAAAGGCACATTTACAGAATGTTCCCTTTTCAGTAATTGTAAAAAGACTCCCTTGCCATTACAAAGCGCTTTTCTTCATAGCAGATTGAAGAATGCTTTACCAACTGAATACATCCCTTTAATATTGATACCTCAGGTCCAACATAATCATAAGTTGCCTTGTTATTATGGAGGTAGCAGCCCCATTTAATAACATATTAAATGCATTATTCATTTATGTAACTCAGACCCAGGGACAGCTGCCGAGTTGAAAATAGAAACATTCTGTGATGCAAAAAGCAGGTGTGTGCTTACTTGAGTAAATTAACTCTGCATTTCTGCACAATTTTCTTCTAAATTTCAGGGACAGGTCTGGTAGGGCTAATGTGATACCATTTTCATCCAAGAAATAAAATGGTTTCAGAATGGGTTTTAATGAGCGCTTAAAAAAAATTGCCAACAGGCTTCTCCGTGGCCGATTCCCAGGGGGATAGACTCCTGCTTTGGATTTAAGCAGAATCCTGTAGCTACAGGATTTAGGAAAGCCTGAAGTGATGATTGGTTAGAACAGCAGCAAACAAAAGGAGAGATTTGGCTGATGATGCCAGGGATGGTGGAGAGCCTAGGCTTCTATTACTGTTCACTAAGACAGAGCCACAGGTGTGCTTAGATTCTAAGTGATTAAAAGTCCTGACAGCCTTCCATCTGCACAGAGCTTCACTGTTGAAACACGGAGGCAGATTTGATGCAGTTAAACTCATGGGATACATAATTATTCCAGAAGGCCTTGCTACCATTTTCCAATACCTGCACTCATGTTTCTTTCTTTTCTTCTTTTCCCCCAAATGTTCTCACCTACCCCCCTTCACCACTCTATACTCATAAATGGACCGGTATTAAACATTCTCAGACATGACAATGAACCACTCCGATGGACAGTGATCTTAACAAAAGGGCTTGGATCCGCTAATGGTCCAGATGTGAAATGCTTAGCTTTTGGATTATTACGAGATGAAAGGCCTCCAAGGATAGAGTCAGTGACCATCAGGTGGATAAGGTGTGTGAGCCAGTCGTGAAAACCTACTGCTCTGCAGGCATGTCAGCATTTAAGCTGACACAATCATGCCAGAGTGCACACCCTGGGTCCAAGCCTTGCAGATATCCTGGACACAAGGAAACCATCAATGAGCTTACACTACAGAGTCACAAATAGGAAGAATATATTGCAATAGATTCTTAGCATGTAAACCCTTAAGACCTCAGAGACACTGAAATCAGTAGCACGGAAAGAACATGCTCATGGGACCAATGATCCAGGACCTGGCTGTGTGCTGTTGAGAATACTAGTTAACACTTAGAAGTCTCAGCTTCACTGTCTATATATTGGAAAGGATAACAATGCTTTCCTCACTAAAGACACGTTGACAAGAAATGAAGGAAGTCATGCAGAGAGCTAGTACCATAACAAGAACACAGGAATCATTCTGTAAATTTGAACTTGTTTTTGTTTGTTTGTGTGTTTATTGTTTGTTGTTGCTTCTACTTTCCCATTATAGAAATTGTTTTGGAGAGAGTAAGAGGTAAGATTGCTGTAAAGGGTGGATAAGCTCTGGGCAGCAGGTGGAGCATGAAAGAGCAAACTGATACTCTCTAAGGGATTTGCAAGAGAGATGTGGCTGGAACCAAATGAGCTTGCTAGGGAGAAAGAGTTCAGAGAGGCAGAAAGGAAACAGAAAGCTTGTAGAGAGCATTAATTGTGGCTTAGAGGATTTTCAACACATCCTGAGGCTGGCTGGAGGCTGTATAGGTTGTCATCTTTTTAAATAAAATAGTTGGAAATAGTTTGTCAGCACTTATCAATTTAAAGCAATTTTTCTATCTTAATTATTTAATCCTGTATTTACACTACATAGTGAATTAAGTATTAATGATTAATTTAGTACTAATCCATAGTGTATGCAGTTCTTTTTTTTTTTTTAACTTTTATTCTTCCCTCGTACATTACATCCTGATCACGGTTAAGCATCTTTTTTGCTTTTCAGCCCTAGTTTTACATAGTTCATCTGGAGCCACACCACAGAGGAAAGCAACTTGCTAGGTATCAATGGATTAGAAAAGTGCCTGCAGGCCAGGTTCAGTCTAATACCCAGTGATATAATGGATGGATTTTAACAGAGGGCTAAGTTTGTCCATTCTTTTGAATGTTGTCTATGTCAATCTCGATTTACTAATTCTTTTAATTACTTAATATTTTTACATATTGTCTATGCCAATCTTAAGATTTGCCATCTAACCTCTGATCTACATCAGTGGGAAGCTGGGTAGAACTGCCTCTAGCTTGAAAATGCACATCATAATCTATACTTTCTCTGCGTTGCAAATAGCATTATAATATGTGCATTTATTTTACCCTCCCTTATCTATAGCTTTACACGCCCCAGTTTTAACTACCCAAGTTCAACCACAGTCTATAGGAAATCCCAGGGATGAATGGTTCATATGTTATAAAAGGTGTTACCTTCTAAGATGAGCTCTCTCCTGACTCTGCATGTCTCTCTATTCTTGTATCACTCGCACGATTTCATCTCGTCATATAAACATGGCATCCTTTTACATCACCATCAAAGGTGTGGGTGCAATACTTTGTGAGAGAAGCCATGCTCACATGAATTTTATGACAGTCTTTATTGTAGCTGTTTACTTTATCATTAGGTTTTATTTTAGCAGGGTGTTATGTTTAATATATAAATTAATCTATACACTAGTTCTAGAGTTTATACTATCGGCAACTGTAGCTGTCCCACTCGGTATACTGGAAAGTACGCAGGGGCAAGAGAGGACAATCATGATGCCTTTTGTATAATCCATAATTATATGTTTTTAAATTATTGTCTAAATTATCTATTTGTGTGTCTTCAACTGGTTATTAATGTAGTGATACCAGAGAACATGTCTTTCACTTCTGTGCTTAGCTCACAGCTCCCACGAAGAAAGAATTCATCTGCTGAGTAGATGATCAAAAGAAGTTTATGGTAGGCTCGAGAGGTGGCTCAGTAGCTAAGAGCACTTGCTGCTTCAGGAGGTTATTAGTCCGGTTCCCAGCCTCCACACCAGGAGGCTCACAATCAGCTGTGACTCCTGTTTCAGGAGACTGAAGGTCCTCTTCTGGCCTGCTCAGGCACTTGCGTGCCTGCGCTGCGCATACGTGCACACAAATAAAAGTCCATGAAAACGCTAATTATAGATAGTCTTTTTGGCCTGTTTTTTTTTTTTTTTATGTTGGCTACTGTGTGTATTACTTTTCTTGTCTCTCTGGAAAAATATGTAACAGAAACAACTTTCTGTTTGTTAGGTAGGAAAGCAATGTTTGGTTCACAGTTTGAGAGATATGGCCCATCGTGGCAGGGAATGAATGGCAGTTGGAGCTCTCAGTGCAGCTTTTTCACATCTTGAGTGATCAAGAAGGAAATAGCTCCATTGTCTTTACGGCTCACCCTGAATGAAAGTTTGTCACGTAGCCCCTCAACCCCAAAGTTCCACCACCTCCCAAATTCGGGCCACCAGCTGGAGGTCATATGGTTATACAAACGAGCCTATGGAGGATATTCTGCCTTCAAACAATAACAGGGACTTTATATAAATCATATGCTGCCAGTGTGTGCTAATATGAAAGGTAGGAAGTTAGGAGGTTATTGGTCTTCATGCTAGGCTGTAGGTTAAAATTTCAGTAGGAATATGCATTACATGAGCTGATGGATGACTTGTGATTTTCTGCACTTAGGTATAGGAAGGTGGTCTCCAATAACTGTACTGATGGAGTGAGAGAACAGTATACTGCCAAACCACAGAAGTGTCCAGGGAAGGCCCCTCGAGGGCTCCGGATAGTCACTGCCGATGGAAAACTGACAGCAGAACAAGGGCACAATGTTACTCTCATGGTGCAATTGGAGGAGGTAAGGCTACTCTTGTCCGTCCTTTGCAAGGGAAAGTGGTATTTCTATTAAACCATGGTTTTCTTTACAAACTCTTGTTCACATTACCAAGTTTGGGCTACGGTATTTTTTATTATTATTTTTCTACTTGTGGCTTTATATCTGCTGTTATCATCTCACTTTCCCTGACACATTCTCCAATTTCTTTCAGTTTGCTGCAAGTTAGTTTTCGCTCCTTTACCTCAGTGGCTCCCTTTGGAAATAACTTTGCTTTATCATCGTTATTAGGAGAATTCATTCTCAAAATGCATGACTGGTTTCCCCAGAATAATTTAATGCAGGCTTAACCAAGTGAAAACGGGCTGTGCTTTTGCATCTCTCAGCCTGCTATCACTGCTTTTCTTTCCAAAGGCAACAGGCTGGTTAAATAGATTGATCAAACATAGCATTAAGATATAAATTAGTGTAACTTCCTTGACAGTTGAGTCACTGTATCTTGGTAACACTCTGAGGACATCATTATGAGCACTGATTACTCTTTAACAAATTGTGTTTGTCTGAAATTTCTGACTATGTAGGTGGTGAATAAAAGAAAAATGTACTCTATGTACTTAAGACTTCAAAAAGGCAAACTTGTCATCTTGGAACTAGATAGATGGTTTCTAAGAATAAGTACATTAAATAAATTACCTCAGTTATTAAATCAGGCCATAATCATGTCTTCAGATATATTTTCTGCATACTGAACTACAGCCAGGACTCTACTGATTAATCAAGAAAACCGTATTTTCAAAAGAACTAATGAAGTCAGCATTAAAGTACACAAGGCTGACTTCCTGCTTCCTCTTCTGGTAGCCAGTGGCCCTAGATCTTTCATTTGCACGAACTATCCAGCATAAACTTGCCACATATGAACATTTTCATTCAGCAGATGTGGTATACATAGTAAGACTTGTTCATAAGAAATTTACAGTTACACACAATGTTCCTAAGTAAAGTGAACAGATAAAAGCCAGACAAGGGGTAAGAATTGGAAAAGAGAAATCAGAGGCATATGACTCAAGGGAAACACGAAGGAGTTAGGAATGTTTGCTAATTTAATAAAAACTATAAACACATTTTTATAATTCCTATTATTTTGGGATTGTGATAACCTTTCCCCCTTCCCTTTCCTTCCAGTGTGTGCTAATATGAAAGGTAGGAAGTTAGGAGGTTATTGGTCTTCATGCTAGGCTGTAGGTTAAAATTTCAGTAGGAATATGCATTACATGAGCTGATGGATGACTTGGGATTTTCTGCACTTAGGTATAGGAAGGTGGTCTCCAATAACTGTACTGATGGAGTGAGAGAACAGTACACTGCCAAACCACAGAAGTGTCCAGGGAAGGCCCCTTGAGGCCTATCCCATAATATCCCTTTCTTACTATCTTTCAATTGCTCCCAAATTGCTCTGTCTCTTTAATTGTACCTACAAGTAACATACAGATTGAGCACATATGTGTGCATAACAAAATCTGAAGTATTTTAATTCTTAAGCTTTCTGAGTCAGTGCTTTTAACTGTACCTTGTCTTCTATGAATTATGATTCTTAAACACTCTACCGAAATAGAAAGTTACAATAATGCAAGTAGTATTATTCCTCTTTATGTAAACTGTCTGTTCTTCAAATGCACAGAGATGGGGGAACAGACAGAGGAAGAGAGAGAAGCGAAGATAAGGAGAGGGGAGGGGACATAGAGCAGGGGTAAAGGGAACTATTAGGAAGACTGGGAAGCTGTGGTCTTTTCTGGAGAGATGGAAAAACCATCAGGATGAATCCATTATCTATTTTACACTGAATCCCCCCCCCATAATTTTGATAGTTCATGTGCCACACTGTGTTATATGGAAAAATAGGTGAGGTCATAAAGAAAGGAGATAATAACAGAGAAAAATCACAAATCTAGTCATATGTGATTTATAGTGGCATCAAAATTCATCAAATATTTACAAATTTGTTTTCAACAGATCTACACAGGAAATTGCAACACATTTGAAAAGAAGCTTTAAAAGGATCCTAAATAGACAAAAAAAAGTGTACCATGACCATAGACAGAGAATTTCAATATTGTAAAAATATGTAAATTTTCTACATATTGACCTTGGTGCAAGGCAATCCTAACAAAAGTCTCCAATACATTTTGTGTTAATATTTAGGACGCTGTTATAAAATATATTAGGACTCAAGAGTTAAACAATAAGAATAGAAAAAATAATCTGGAAACTGATTCATAAATTTACAGCATAGGACTGGATGGATGGTTTGACTAATGAAGTGTTTGCCTCTATGTCTGATGAACTGAATTCAATCCCTGGGACCCATCTGGTCAAACAAGAGAACCAAATTTGGCAAATTGTCTTTTGACCTTGACACACATGCTACATGCCATTAAATAATAAATTAAAAAATTAAAATCGGATGAGTTAAAGATAGAAAGATCTATTACATAGATCTCTATAAATAAACCAACTAAGGAAGGAAATAGATAAGAAACCTAAGCACATGTGTTTGTATGTATATAAGTATGTGTAATTTCAATAGATTAAATTATAATATTTACAATAAATTGTGTAGGTATTATGCAATCATGTTGGAACACATGGATTTTCATCGTCATGAAATGCAAATAGTTCTAGTTATGCAAAATAATTCTAATTATATTGTCAATATAATTTTGTAAAATAAAACTAACTGTTCTAAAATACAAAGGAAAGCATCTTCACAAACTCAAGTCAGTTCAAGGTTTTTAAAAGAACAAACAAAATCCACTAAGTGTGGTGGAAAGTGTAATTGTTTTAGACTCCATTCCAATTATGAATTCTGTACTTCATAACCTTGTTTAGAAAATTAAAAGGAAATTCCCCAGTGGATAAAGATACATTAACACATAATTACAATAAAAAACTTGTAACTAGAAAGTACTAAATACTACAAATCAATAAGAAAAACATTAACAGTTCAATTAAAATGCAAAAATGCTAATTCAGGAAGTTTTCAAAGATGGTGTCCCAGCAGGCAATCACTTATAAGACCTGCCCTTATCAAGGGCTGGAGAGACAGCTCAGCAGTGAAGCGCACCTGCTGCTCTTGCAGAGGACTCACATTCAGTTCCCATTGCCCACGTGGTGGCTCACAAATGCTTGTAAGCTCAGTTTCAGAGGCTCTTTGTCATCTTCTTGCCTCTGCAGGCACCACACGCACACACATAAATGCATGGAGAACACAACACTTGCTGGAGAGGATGTGGAGAAAGGGGAGCCCTCCTCCATTGCTGCTGGGAATGTGAACTTGTACAACCACTTTGGAGATCAATCTGGCGCTTTCTCAGACAATTAGGAGTAGTGCTTCCTGGAGATCCAGCTATACCACTCCTAGGCATATACCCGAAAACTGCTCAAGTATACAACAGGGATATTTGCTCAACCATGTTCATAGCAGCTCTATTCGTAATAGCCAGAATCTGAAAACAACCTAGATGTCCCTCAATGGAGGAATATATACAGAAATTGTGGTACATTACACAATGGAATACTACTCAGCTATTAAAAACAAGGAAATCATGAATTTTGCAGGCAAGTGGTGGGAACTAGAAAAGATCATCTTGAGTGAGGTAACCCAGAAGCAGAAAGACAGACATAGTATATACTCACTCATAAGAGGTTATTAGACATATAATATATGATAAGCATACTAAAATCTATACTCCCACAGAAGCAAAAATTAAAAATAAATAAGACATCTTAAATGTCTTAATATCAAAGCACATCAATGAATAGTGCATTAAAAATGTAGTAACTATAGTAAAAGTTACTGTATACGATCAAAAATGTGTATTTAAAAGACTGATGCCAAGTGTTGTGGAGGATGTAAAGTAACCAATTATCTTTGTAACACTTGATGGCAGATTGATTGTCACTGTCATTTTGAGGGCATGTTAGACAGTAAGTACCTCAGTGGCGGTTTGGTCAATATGGACAAATTTTCAATTATTTGATCTGGGTGGTACTGAATAGATATGCAATTTTTATAGAAATTAATTTGCATATTTAAAAACATATTTTGTTCTTCAAATTTCTTTAGAACTCATAAAATGCAATGCTATACTTGGGGTTGGTCTCGAATTTTAGGAGGGTTCATCTTCCATACCAGTACTCTAGCCTAAAATTATCTATATGTTCAATGTGGGTAGATGTCCCTTCTCAGAAGCAGAAAATGTAAGCATAGTATCAGAAGAACAGCTTTTTGAAAGCTCATTATATTGCATTCCACATTCCATTTACAAGAGCATAATACAACCAAGGTAAGGAGTAGAACTTTCTGTCAGTTCTAAGCTTCTCACCATGACAGAGAACACAGTTCAGTTACAGGAGCCATGATCTCAGCTGCTCTACTCCCTCTCCAGATAACAAGAGCATCATGGCTCTCCTACTGGGACGAAGGTATGGAAACATTGGAAAATCTGTGTCTGAGATGTTGAGTCCTCTGGAAAAACAATGTCAAATTAGTTGATTCCAGCTGAGTGTCCAAGGCAACAACTGCAGGGATGAAAGCTGCTGCCTTGTGCTGTCAGGCACAGTTCCTTCACACTCTTGTCTTCTGGGGCAGAAGAAATAGTACAGTTGACTTTCCTCACATCAACAGAGCCTGGGGACCGCCCATGTGATGACAGGATTCTGTGTTAATTAATGACAGCCTCTCTTTTGCTGTGTCTCTGTTGATTCTGTGCATCTGCATGGGTGATTCATATGATGAACAATGAAGAATAAATGAAAAGCCAGTGAGCGTTAACAGCTATACAATGACAACAGTTCAGACATCAGTAGTGAGCACTAACTGTTATGGATTGCAGGAGCTTTCCATAGAGGGCCTGCAGAGGATCCCACGCCAGCCTTACACAGATAGGTGTCTCATCATCGGAGGCACAAAAAAACCCAGTTATTACCATAGACCAGACACCCACTATGCAGGAGAAATAGTCAAG